GAGAAATTTTTGAGCAAATACAAAAATTACCCAGGAAAAATTCTGAACAGTACATTTAAATGAATAATGATCTGTTTTTGTTCCATTTAATATTTCGAATTTTGAATTCTGATTATTGAATAAATCTTGCAATTGTTTCGGCGAAACCTGTTCAAAGTGATTTCATATACAAAATGACTCAACTTATGTGTCATGTATTTGTAATATTTACTATACTTTCAGATAAACATCAGTTCCTATGCAAATTAGTTAGGTGTACCTGCATATATATATATATATATATATATATGTATATATATCAAGTCATGTTGTTCGTCTCAATACACCTCCGAAACGGTTTGACCGATTTTTATGAAATTTTACAATCACATTTTTTAATCATATAGATCAGTAAGACTGAAAATCGGTCAACATTTATATTTTACATCCTTCAGTAATAAAAATATTTTGTTGTTTTTGGTCTAGTATTATTTTTCAGATTTTTTATAATTTGCAAAATTAAAAAACACTACAGCGTTGAATTTTCACCTTTGTCCACAAACCCTTATTTCTTAGTAGTGAAATCAAATCAAATTTTTTGCGCTCTCAGTCAGAGAATGAAAATGTTTTCGTCAAATTCAATTCGGATTTTACTTAAAAAAAGAAATTATTTTTTAAAGGGTTGTCCATCTCTAACACTTTATTAACGTGGACTTTCGTTAATTAGTTTAGAAAGACATTCGGTCGAAGTTCAAGTCAGTTTTTTAGAATCAGTAAAAAAGTGCTAATTTTTTGTACATTTTTTTGCAATGATTATTTCATTAAAACGACTCCATACGTTTTTGTACAAACTTTCTGAACAATTTTTTTTTTAACGATTTTGATGAAACTTTTGTATAATAATAGAGTTCATTGGTCTTAACGAACATCCTAAAATATTATTGGCCTGTAGAAAATGGTGTAATTATGAAAAAAATTTCAAGTTTGGAATAATGGGCTATGTCAAATATTAAAAATTCTATCGTTACAATTTTAAAATTTATTAAATTCAATGCCTTTTAAGTAATTATTAATGTACGAAGTTATATCATTAAGATGCTTGCATTGAAATTTTAAAATTGCATTAAAATCAACTTAATACGCTATAGACTATTTTTAATTATTTAACCGATTTATGTAAAAAAAATTATACAATGTTGAAATCACATTTTTCGTACAAATTGTTAGCTAAATATTTTTGCGCGATAAATTTTCATATCAAAAAATGTAATGGTCATAACCTTACACACAGTCAATTTTTTGTATCTGTAACGTAATACAAAATATTCGTCTGTTTTGATATAAATGTATTTGATTACACTTTTTATTAGATAATTGAATTAATACTAGTAAAATTGTCTGCTTGAAATTAATTTTAGCGCAAATTCTGAAAACCAATAATAGTCGTAATTAATAGTTATTAATTTAAAATTGCCTAGGGTTTAGTTTTGCAATCAAATCAATTGATCATCTTGATATATTACATATATCCATCATCTCATATAAATATATATTCTTATCCATATTTGATATATTCTTGTTATTATTACAATTTCTCTAATACTGATGATATATTTTTAATTTGATGCTAAGAAGGGGCTATTTTCAGTAAAATCCATGTTTTCAATATAAAACTGCTTGTAATCAAGCTGTCCGAGAAGCCCATTGAACCTAAACCCTTTGGTTGCAGGACTAAAGCTCTTACCTGAAGCACAAAGTATATCATAAAAATAATAATAATATCAAATTAAAATAAATAATTTGGCTAAAAATCTAATTTTGGCTTTTCCTATCGTCGCACTCATCACTTAAGTCCATGTATTTATTATCCCGATTCGATTTATTTTTAACACCAAACAACTAAATATAGCAAATGTCATTCAAAACCGTTCAACTTGAAATAATCATAATAATAATGTTAAGAGGAAAAGACCCTGGTGATCAAAAACGGAATAATCTGTTAATGTCGACATTATCAGTATAATAATTAAACATGCCATTAATTAACAGACATTTAACTTTAACGAGGAGTTCATTAGCTCTCTAATCAGATACACATGTCGGCGTATCTTTTTAGGAATATTATAAGTATATACATATATGTATTTTTCACTATTAATTCACTGTGTATGATATATTGACCCACAAGATAGAAAAAGCTTCCTTTTTCATTCATAGTCGAAAAAGATGATGCCGGCTTTTTTGTAATTCGAACCATTTATAGATGTAAACATATTAGAATGGAGAAGCAGGGACTAATTGGAAATTTTATAAAAAAAATACAAAATAACAGCAATCAGATCTTAACATTTCTATAAGTTGTTGTGATGATACTTGTCACCTAAATGGCTTTCTAGAGGGCAACCCAATGATTGGCTCATTCTATTTCATAAAAAAAATATCAGAATTTCTTTAATGCTGGTGATTTATTTTTAATTTTATAATCTATATTTTCAAGGGATAACTAATATCACTACTGCTTGATATCAGATTGCCCGAGAAGAGTATTTTCAAGGGATAACTAATATCACTACTGCTTGATATCAGATTGCCCGAGAAGAGTATTGAACTTGAAACTTATTTCGACCGTGACATAGCGTTGCTATAACAACTCTATTTTATCAAATAATTGCCCCATAAATCGAGTGTTATTAGTGCTTTGTTGTTTCAATTTTGTCTGTTAATTGGGCTGTACGTAGCCTGGTGATAGTATCTGTAGTCTTGCATTCACAAGATTCCAATTTCAAACACGATTTACGTGTAACCTGATATCAAGCAGGAGTTTTTTGTGTCATTCCTGAAATTGCCAGGGAAAAATAAATCAAGTAAATACTAATTCGTATGTATAAGTATAATTTATAAAAACGACAACTATTGAGTTGCCTTCTAAAAAAACACGTAGTTAATAAGAACATATTACAAGCAGGGACTAATTGGAAATTTTATAAAAAAATACAAAAAAACAGCAATCAGATCTTAAAATTTCTATAAGTTGTTGTGATAACACTTGTCAACTAAATGGATTTCTAAAAGGCAGCCCAATAGTTGGCTTATACTATTTCATAATTTTTTTGGTGATTTATTTTTAATTTCATATCATATCAGAAGACTAAATTTTGATTCTTGTTCAGTAAATGAAAAAAATAATAAAAAAAATCAAAGTATAGAAAAGTTTTTACTATCAGTAAATTTAAAATGGTATTAAATGTTTCATTGTCATATATTTATTATTTTGTAGCAATTTTGGAAATCTAATAAAATTGATTTTTCCAACAGTAGATATTAAAATTTTGGTTTTTACTCTCTTTATAAAAGTTTATAAAACTTAGTGGTCTCTTTTAATTTAATTTGTATTTTAAAACATTTTTATAAGATATTCAACAAACAATTATAAGTACTTTGAGCTGTGATGGAATTAATTTTCTTATTATTTTTTTCTAAATTACATTTTTTATTATTATTTTCACTTCATATTTCTAATTATTTTGTTTGGGTATGTTGTTTAAATAATTAACAGTAAATGCTTCAAAATAAAAAAAATTAAATTGTACAGTACAAACTAAATCCTTAAAATGTTTTGCTTTTTTAACATATTTGTTTAGTGTTTTTTTATAGTTTGTATGCAGAATTCGATTAAATATTATCATAAGATTTTAGTAGTAACTTTCGTTGTTTTTTATTCTTTTTATTTTTATATGCAGATTTGAATCAAAATTGGTAATGTTATAAGAATTCTGTACATATTCTGCATATGCTTATATGCAGAATTTTATTAAAATTTTAATAATAAGATTTTTGTACTCACTTTTGTTCATTTCTTTGCTAAATGATGAAGACATATTAAGTAGCCAAAACTGTACAATTTAAAATAAATATTGAAAATAAAACAAATAATAAATAATAAATTAAAAAACAAATTAACTATTTGAATTTTGAGATTTTTAACTGAACATATCAATACACGTAAATATTACAATCTAATCCATACAATAAATATCACAATCTAAAGAATTTTATAACCATTTAATTTTATATGTATAAATGCCCATAATCACATTGTTTATTTCTAGTTTGCAATAATAATATTGGAACATATTTTAAGCTGTCCATACGCATTATTTTTATTATATTGTAGTTTTATTTTTATTTAAATATCAAATGTTAAATCTAACAAGTTATAAATACCGTTATAACGATTATATGCTAAATATTGCAACAAATGCATGATAAAATAGTGCTAGTCACACACACATATATCCATTTTTTCTAATGTATGCCAAAATGTTCAGGAATCTCTGAAACGTAAAGATATATAAAAAAATTTATTTTAGATTTTTTTGCGATTGCTATAACTTACTCTACGGGAAGTTAAAAAAATTCTTAATTTATATTAAAAAAAATAGTCCATACATTATATAATTGATCAAAGTATTTATATTACATCCTATTTTCAATACCAACTTATTTTTGCATTTTCTGCAATATTTTCATATTAGCCTTAATGGTTTACCTTACTTGGATCATCATGGTGATGAAACTCAAATACTTCAAATAAAAAACATCATATAGCTAAAAATTGCTTCTTAACATGGTGTTAAATGGTTATATGGTATATTAGACTCATCTATAATTTTTCAATTTATATTTTAAAATAATAGTCCATACTTTGTATAATTGATCAAAGTATTTATATTACATCCAATTTTCAATACAAACTTATTTTTGCATTTTTTGCATTATTTTCATATCAACCTAATGGTTTACCTTACTTGGATCATCATGGCGATGAAACTCAAATACTTCAAAAAAAACATCATGTAGCTAAAAATCGCTTCATAACGTGGTGTTTAATAGTTATATGGTATATTAGACTCATCTATAATTTTTTAATTTATATTTTTAGATTTCCAATTCGACCCTGGCCCTTTCTATATCTGTCCACAAGTTCTATAAGATTGTTAGACGCGTCTCAATCTCATGTGGCACAGTGCGGCTTCTAAGCTCGCAGTGGAAGAAGTCCAATTTGAATTTCCACAAAAATTATAAGATTTTTTTTTTAATTCAAGTGTGATTTTTTTAATTTTTTGCAGTGCTAGTTATTTATCTCCCTTGTTCAGATGACAATCGAAAACGAATTATAAATTATTAAAAGACTTTATGGTAAAAGTGATTGGAACAATGCGTACGATTATTTTAGTGTCGTTTTTGTTCGGATTGGCAGCCTCTTTGGACCAGGGCAGGTTGTACCCTTTTGGAGAAGGAAGGGATCTGGTGCTACCACATGTAGATGATGTTTCTACAGGTGAAATTACTCTGCAGACTCCTGTTTATTTCTATGATGAAGTCTACACCAGCATATACGTGAGTTGATAATATTTATTTTAATATTATATATATGTATATATATATATATATAATTATTTAATTTTATGGTATACTCTTTTTCCATATTCATAATGCAAACACTTACATATTTTGTGAAATTCTGAATTTGATGTTGACTTATGTATTAACAAAGTCTAATAATTGGGCATATCAATAATTTTTTTTTAAACATTTATTTTACAATCCATACGTTTCAGCTATAATCCTAACCTTCATTCTAAACTTAAACTAAAAATAAAATTCAAAAACAAAAACAATTGAGATTGAACAATTATAGAGTAAAAAGTACTTACAATTTGCTAATCTTAGGGTTAAATATAAATATATTACTACACTATGAAATATAAATGGTGAACTTTTAATTATAACAATATTTCACAATTAAACTAACATTATCAAATTATCACAAAATAGTAAGTGTGTAATATATATATTTTATCTGTAAACTATTTGAAGACATAATGTTGAAAGGAATTTTTAAAAAATATTGTTACTAAGATTCTAACGTGTGTAGAACTAATTGTGAATTTTTCACACATTTTTTATTGTTTTGTAAGAAATTTGGAATGTTGAGTTCATTCCTTCTATTTATAGTTCTCACATCTAAATGATTAAGTACGTTTACAATTTTTTTTTATTAAATTTTTTTCAAAATGTAGTACAGTCGTGTTAAAAAAGTTTATATTGTGTTTTGAAGTATTAATGTGGTCCGTGAGCATAGTTTTGAATTGTCTAGGATTTTTTAAATTATTTTTGTATTTTTAGCGATCGTTCAATCAAGTTCTGGCTCCTATGTAAATTAAATTACAATCTGAACAGATAATTCGATAGGGACTATTTCGATCTTGAGAGTTTTTTATTTTATTGTTAGTGAAAATAGTGTTAGTTGTTGTGCTAAAGTTATTGGCAAATCGAAGTCGTGATTTATAAAATAGTTATAAAATTGCAGTTGCAAATGAATACAATGCTCTGAAAATGTTTGAGTTAATATAAATGACAATAAATAAAATATTTAGGATACCTTTTTGCTACGATGAACAAGATTATTTTGTATCGTTGTTGATATTGATCTTATATTTTATCTTTTATATAAAATTTTCTATACGAAAATGTTTTCAAATATTCAATAAACACCATATTATACAAAATCTTATATTAATAACTTAAAATTATATTTTTTTTATTCAACAACGTATCCAAAAATCATATTAAGTCAACTAAAATTTTAAAGAACACTGATACTTTTAAAATTCAAATTTAAGATGATATATAGACATTATATAGAATAAATTCTGTAATAATTTTATATTTAACTTTGTTGTAAAAGTTGTAGTTATCATATCATATGGATTGCCTGAGTTTATTCAACTTGCTTTAGAAAATCTTTCAATTTTTATCTCATTTTTAAAGTACTGTATTTTCTCCTTAATTAAATATTAAATCTACATTCTTTATAATTTTATGCTTTTGCTCCAATTATGTCAAACCTAGTTTTAATTGTTTAAAATTAATTTTATATAATGTTTTGAAAATAGCTCATTTCTGCAATATATTTAAATAGATCATTGATATTAGAAATAATGTAATATAAAATTTAATAAATAATTAAGACAACCATTGGGTTGCCTTCTGCAAAGCCTGATAAGAAGTATCATTACGACAACTCATAAAAAACTCTTAGTAAAATAATAGAATATGTCTAATAATTTTACATTTTCTTTGCATCACTTTTTTGAAAAAACACTAATTTCCTCATCGGTGTCCAGACAGAATATTTTAAATCAGGAAGCTCTTCCAACTCATTTATCGACATATGGTCATTAAATTATTTTTGCTTCAAAAAGCTTTATCCATATGTCGATCGAGGCTCCCATTCATTTTCCACAAATATCTTAATTTCTTTTACAAAATCCTAAAACACTTTACAAATGCACCTAAATCTAGGTTACAAATGCTGTAACATTTTTATTACCATGCCGATCACATCCTCAACAGCCTATTTATAATATTTATACAAGCAAATTCGTTTTTAACTGACAGATTCTGTAATATTTCAAAATTTTATAGCTCTAACGAGTATAAAATGAGCTTCCAGTTTAGTTAGTTGTTCTAGTTTCGCTAATAATACAAAGTAAGTTCAAAAGATCATCAAATCAGTATTTAGATGTCCTAATTCTACGACGTGCCAACTATTGCGAAATTCTAAAGGATTCATTCGGAAATCATTAGTGATGATTTATTTTGGAGTAATAAAAGTATAGGATTGTTTTATTTGAGTGGGAATAAAATTTTGAAACAAAGATACTAATTTACTGATATTTTGCAACCGAGTACTACCTACAGAGGATTCGATAGTTCTATTACAAATATAATTTACATATAGCAATTTGTATTGAGCAAATCTGAATCCGTGTTTGAATTTGTATTACAAATATTCTTTTTGTTCTACAAAATAATTAGTTAAATGATACATGTACAATATGCACATGAAGTTTGTAACCAGATTTTTCAAAAAATTCTTCTTTCGTTAATAAATAATTTGTTGAAGAGCATTAGTAAACCTATCCATAGCAATCTATAGGAATGATCTAAAATTTTTGACCTTTCTACGAAAAAATCATAATTTCACATAAAATCTATTAATTTTATGATTACTATATCCATTAACCGTGTATATTTCATATCCCTCAAATCTTTAACATTTATTCATCCCCATGATACAAATATTAATTTTACATATTCAAATTTAAATTGATCAGTAAATATTGCATCAGAAAATAATATTGTTTTTAAATAACCTACTATTTACTCGTGTCGATTTAATGTTATTTGATTTAGTGTCTATGTTTTATAATAATTATTTGAATCCCTCAATTTATATCGAATTGCATACAGAACGAATCATGAATCAAGTATTTGCATTGATGATGATTTTCAATCAACATTTCTATAATTAATTCTTGTTTAATTTTAAAACAAATTAGTTATTCACTCTATATGCTAATATTTATCGAACTATTTTAATAGCAAATTATTCATTTGGTGATTTTACATTATAGACTTGCATTATAATAATATAGAAATTGACATATTCTTTTTGGCTATTTTTTCTACTCATATTTATGTTAATAGATTTTATGTAAATAATTTCATTTGAAACGCAGTGTTCGTACTTTAATTTAATTTATTTTTACATTTTTAAATTCATTTTATTAATTGAATATTTAGGGCATATTACTAAATTGCATTTGCATATTCATGTAATTTATGATTTATTCATAAAAACATGAGAAGCAAAAATTATTTACATGCGATTCATATCTAAAAATACATCTCACTATTTTTTGTTAAAAAAAACTTGTTAAATCATATTTGAATATTCGACTTTTCTATAATTATAATTATATTTATATATGTAAATAATTTTTTCAAATGTGTTTATTCTTCTAAGCACTTTTGAAAGATTTAGTAAAGAGCTATAAAGTTTTTTCTTAAAAAGATAATACTTAATTTGTTTTATGTATGAAAAAAAAAATAATATTGTAGTTTAAAAGTACTTACACTAATTTTTATAATCTTAGAATTCAAGAAAAATATATACAAAAAGGTTTATCTTTCGTTTCAAAGGTTTCTGAACATTTTAGTAAACCTTAGAAAAAATGGATGTACTCGTATATGTGTGTGAGCGGATGCAAATTTTTGTCGGCGATTTTGCGAATACAGATTAACCGATTTGAGTAATTAAAAAAACATTCGATTACTACTGATAAGGAGACGTGCAGATTAGATTTGGCAATGGCAGGTCTAGCCGTTTCGGAGATACGAGGCAAATATGCAGCGCGATTGCTTAAAAATAAAATTTCGAAATTTTCAAAAAAATCAAAATACAAAAAAAATCATATTTTTTAAAAATGTCAAATTCTGTCAAAAATTTCAAAATTTCTCAAATATCTAATTTTTTCAAAGAAAAGTTTCAGCAATTTGCCTTAAGGCACGATGCCATGCACCACTAGTTTTCAAATTATTCAAGTGATTTTATATATGTTACGGGCCTATCTTCGTATGATTTGGTATTAGTGAACTATCAAAAATCTAATTATTTGCTGTGCGATTAAGCGTTTCACACATAAAACCTAACTTCACGTATGTGTTATCAATGAGACATCAGAAGATGCACTTATGATAAAATTGTTATTAGACAATTGTGCGTTTTGGAGGTTAGGATTTATGTGTACAACGCCTGATTGCACAGCAAATACATAGATTTTTGACAATTAGTTACCAGCAATTAATACAAATTCAAAGACCCGTAACATAGCGTTACATTTCTATATAACATAGCATAACATTTCTATTTTATTGGAGAATTAGCCCCTTAAATATATAAGTATTATAAATCTCTATCGTTTTCAATCACATTGTTTGTTGGAATTGTTTAGAAATTGTTTATTAATCTTACGGCTGATTATTTTGTTGCCAATGCTTATCTACGAATTCGACCTTTTGCCACTTGACCAAGAATAATATATGTACATTCATTCAGTTTTATCAATATTTGCTAATTTTGAAATAGAATTGACACAAATGCAAACATCTATGTGCTAAATTGCCGTGTTTATTTGCTTGTTTATATTATCTGATTTCAAACATTAAAGAGAGTTATAATGATTCAAAAAGTTTGAGAAATTGGAAATTGCATTTGCGATATAACGACATCAGGGACCTACGAAAGTTGTTTTAGATACGATCTTTATTTTTATGTGACACCACTACTGCTTGATATCAAGCTGTCCGAGTCTGTTGTATGCTGTGGACAAACTCAACTACAAAGTTAAACAGACATCATATATATGAATTGAACAAAAAATTACAGAATAATTTTTTTGGCAATTACTTTTATTTCTTCTCCACATTTTTATTTCTAGTTACTAATTTCGAAGGAAGTAATCATGGTCAAATCCACTTATGATGATGAATATTATTTTCAATTTTATTTGTCTATTATTATCGTTTCTATTAAATGGTTCTTCATAAAATTCCCTTATTTTGATAATATCAGAATGTGTGTAGTATTTAGTATCTGTGATTCATAAATTAAATAAGATAAATCGTATAGGATCGAATTAGTAATGAAATCATTATGTTTGGTATGGATTACTTCATTCATTCATATATAATAAATAGTTAGGAAATATGCATATTATTATTTAAAAATACATAGGTGTATCTGAGGGAAAGAATAATATTTCATTATATTTTATATAACTGTTAGGTTTAGTACAAAATGAACACATTAATTTTTATCAAAATATTGGCGGCAATTATAGATAAAATCTATTTAATCTTAAATTGTTATCCGGATTTATAAATAAATGAATATCTAAAATATAGGTTCCCAAACTCTTTTAGTTAGCATTGAAATATTTATTTGTTATCTATTTTCTAATACCTCTATGAAAAACCGCATAATTATTTAATTTCAACGTTTACCGAAAATAGAGAAAAAAAATTTATATATACGATAATTGGAATAATGTTCATCTAATATATATATAGTCTTTTTAAATTGGTGTTTATAACTTTCTTACTGTTAAATGAGGAGTGGACTTTATTGTCCACTCTGTACAAAATTATTAATATCATATATTCTAAAATTACATTATACAATTTGTAGGTCAAAAGCCAAATCATTATCATAGATGCTCGTATTAATCTGTTAAATACTTATCAAGATTATGCAATCATATTTTGAAGACTAATGACCGATGATATAATTATGAGTGCCCTTCAAATTTAAATTTGCTGATTTATCAAACATTTCGGGAGAAAACAATTTTTTCTTTAAAGCAATCAGAACTATTTTTAGTTGTTCTTATCATTTTTTCTATGACTATTCTTTATAACCTAGAAAGGGAAGTTTTTTGGTGGTGAGATTCTTATTAAAAAATTCAGTGGTGATATATTGCAAGAAACCCTGAAAAGCTATTTTCACTAGTATTTATATTACAAAGCCAGTACTATAAAAAATTATTTATGACAGGTGGTAAATCATTCTCTACAATTTCAGGAATATTTAAAAAAATAATTAATATGTAACAAATAATTTTTCTTTCATTTTCCAACACGTGTCTGATGGTCCAGATCTATTTCGAGTTCTATTATACGGAACCAAACAGACATGTTTATTTGTCGGTGTCATGTTAATGATACGTAACATCTTTTGTATGACTTTTGAAGCGTTTAAAAAGATATAAATAAAACTATTCCAGGCCACATTTGAATTACGTCAATTAAGAGAAGTATTTAGAAGCCTTTTTGAAGAGGAGCGCCCTCGCGTTATGAGTTGACATTTTAATTGCAACGACTAAGACGAATGAAATGAAGACCAAAATTTCAGGTCACTAGATAATTTTTATTTTCATCTTATAATTAGATAAAGTAAATAAATAAAAAAATGTCATTCAAGAAATTGTTGATAGGTTGTGGTTATCTTCCAAAAAAACTGCAAAATTCAGAAGTTTCATCATAACAACTCATAGGACTCATGAACTTCATTTGCTCATTACAATCATACAAAATTTAAGACGTTCTCAAATTATTACAATTTTATACTTTTCATAAAAACGTGTTCTATCTTTTATCATGATCCCCGAAGTTTACTTCTCAAAAAAATTTCCTGTTGCCACTTTTCGCCATCTCTTACATAAATATTAGTATGTAATGCGTTTTTTTCTTCAATCGGCTGTCGGAAATTGGTTCTTCTATGTAATGTATATAAACATGAATTTCTAATAGCATTTGTACTAAAATGGACTCTGAATCTGTCTATTAATAAACCTCTTAACAAACTTGCGGAACAAATCTGTTACTGGAAATCGTTGAGTTGCACCGTGAGGTGAACGAACTGCAAACTTCCATTAAGGATATTTTTAATATGGAATAGTTTTGTAGATTTTATTGTTATGTATTCAGTTAAACTATAATAATAAATAATAAAAAAAAATAAAACATGTCAATTGAACATATATTTTCTTATAAGAGTCTAAATGATAATAAGTCTTTTCTACTCAAGCACCTTTTAGTAACTTAATTTTCTTTTATTTCCAGGTCAATACAAATGGTCTCCTCTCCTTTCGGACAGAGATTCCAATATTCTTCAACGTACCATTCCCAATGGAGTATCCTCTGATAGCTCCATTCTACAGCAATGTTGATACTTCGGTATCAGGCAGAGTATGGTATCGGGAAGTATCAGTCAATGATGCTAATCAGGCTGCCGATATCAGGCGAGCGGAGCAGGCTGTTCGAACAGCCTTCTCTGGAGCTCCTGAATTCCATGCCGAATCAGTTTTTATTGCCACATGGGACAATGTTGGTTTCCATGGAGGACAAGGACTTAAAACTAACACATTCCAGGTAATAGAGTAAAATCGGTAAAAATTGTGTGAATAGTTATAGATCACATCTAGGTACCTTTTCTATTTCAAAACTATATTAACCAATAATTGGGATCGACAAATATCCTTCTCATGGGCGAGTGGCATTTAATGGTAATAGGTAATTATTTGTCCTAGGTTGCTGTAACGACAGGTTTTAATCCCACAACTGATGCCACTGAAAGTTATGTCGAATTTTTATACCCTCAAGGAGGTTTGCAATGGATTCAAGGTGCTCCTGGTCCTTCGGGATTACCTGATGTCAGGGCCCAAGCTGCAATTGGAGCTGAAGATGGCAGGATACATGTCCTTAAAGGATCTGGAACTGACCAGGTAATAATAATTATGAAAAAATGATAAAAATTAAACATGTTCAAAATTTATTCTTGGATGTTTTTATACGAATGTTTCATGTGACACTTTTCTACTACTACTACATTCTGCGCTTATCTAACTTGCACCATTTTAATTGTCATTTAGCCCAGTTTTTTGTTAAATCCTTGTCAACGTTTAAAAGATGCTCAAGTAATCTAGTTCATGGACAATGTTTACCTAATTATCTCTTAAATACATGTTAGAGCAAAAAAACCATTTGTTTTTTAAATTCATTGTAAACTTGTATATATTTACGACTTTTTTGAGAAAGTGATGAACTTATTGCCACAAACATTTATATGCTTTAACTAATTCATATATTAGAACTATAATTGTAATAATTATAAAAACACATTAAGAAAATTCAAAACATTGAAATATAATATATGGTTTCGATATCATTTTGCTAAAGGAATATATAAATTCAGACTTGCTCATAATTTGACTAATGTACTTGTCACTGAATTTTTGAATAAATTTTAAAGTCATTTTTCAATTTAACTTGAATTTAACATTCTTTGGGCCGAATTTTTTGTTTTACATTTTTTTTTTAAATTAGCTTGTACTAAGCAGATTTCATTTTCCTCAGGTAGTAAACCTAAGTCGTTTATCCAACGTGGGCGAGCCAGGATATTGGATGTTCCAAGTCGGTCCTTTGGGAGAACGCGGCGATGTCATCGAACCAGACACTGCTGCGTCTTCTTCAGGCGAAAGTAGCGATTCTTTAGATACTTCTGCTTCAGATTCTTCAGCAGACTCCTGCGCTGCTGGAGGCCGCATCAAATGTCACGCTAGGGCCAAGTGTCAGGATACTGAAGAAGGCTTCTGTTGCAAGTAAAATATATTAGTTGATACTTATTGCCAAATATTTAGTTTAGAAAAATAAATTTTAATTTAATTTAAATTTTATTTCTAGGTGCGATCAAGGATATTATGGCAATGGTATTGCGTGTCTTAAACGTGATGTTCCTTTACGCGTTAATGGTAAAATCACTGGAACTTTAAATGGTGAAGCTTTAGGCGTTATGGAGCTTCAAAGTTACGTCGTCATGGCTGATGGACGAGCTTATACTGCACTGTCGAAAGTTCCTAGGGAACACGGATACGAAATGCAGGTAAATATCGTAAACACAAACTAACATATTTGCTTCCTCAAAAAATACTTTAGTAAGTGTCTTACAAAGAAGCGATGCTCCACACATAAATTTTACCATTTTTTATCATTTTTTCTAGGTTTTGCATATTTTGGGATCAGTCATCGGATGGTTGTTTGCGAAACCTGCAGGTACTGCGCAAAACGGATATCAATTGACAGGAGGCGTCTTTAATCATACTGCTGACATTACATTCCCTGGAACACCACACAGAATTTCCATCACACAACGTTATACTGGTTTAGATCTGTTCGATCAACTTCGACTTGAAGGAGAAGTTACGGGTAAGTCTTAATTGAATTCTGTAACTTCCTCAAAAATAACGTTCAGAATAAACCTAAATAAATGTAATTATAATTAAAATTATTATATTTTGATATTTGATGTGATTTTTTATGCTTCAGGAACTTTACCGGCATTCAGAGATGGAACAAAAGTAGAACTCGACGAATTCACCGAAGAGTATTCTCATCCAGCACCAGGAGACTTGAGATCAGTTGCCACTCGTACATTGCGCCTCAAAAATGGAGGTTTAGAAGATGATCCATCAGCTTCTGTACTGGTTTACGAATTATCCCAAAGGTTTTCATACGAACCATGTAAATTCCAAAGCCCGTCTGACAAACCAGATCCGATTAAAATTAGAGTATCTAAGAACTTCATCGGGTAAGATAATAAGATAATGAGTATACCAAATACCAAACTTATATTTTTCGTTTTTTAGTTATGAATCACGTGAACGAATTCTTCGGTATGGAATGAGCGATAAGGTATCTTTGGCAGGAGAACAGGATCCTTGTGCAGATTTCAGATGTGGTGAACATAGTGCCTGTGTAGCTGATGGAGATGATCATCGTTGTGTGTGCGATCGTGGTTACCATTTCTTGTATGGCACTGACGAAGAGGAATCTGCATGTGTCGATGTTAACGAATGCCAGGTAGGAAATAGTAAAAGTAACTTAAATTAAAAGTGTAGATTTTGTCTGAAGCAACTGTTATCTCAAACTGGTAAACCATAAATTTATTCTCAATTGTTTGGCTGACCAAAATCGTTGACGCTAATGCCCCTGGTCTAGACAAGAAATAAATAATAATTTGAAGTAACAGATATGGATACAACTATTTTTTTCATCCAGGTTGGTATACACGGTTGTGATGTCAACGCTCGTTGCATCAATGAACCAGGTAGTTTCCATTGCGAATGTCTACCAGGTTATACTGGTGATGGAAGACGTTGTGAACCTCTGACCCAAGAAGCTTGTGAAGTAACTCAAAGGTGTCATCCAAATGCTATGTGTGATGTTAATGATCGCTGTGTGTGTTTACCTGGGTAAGAAGTCAATACACCAATTGACTAAAAAAAAAATTCTATCATATTTTATTTACTATCTTATGTATTTGTTGTATTTCTAGTTATAATGGTGATGGAAGAGATTGTACATCCGAAATGCCAGACACCACTCAACCACCAGAACGTATACGTGGTTATTGCATCATGGGCGAATGTACTTGTCCAGAAAATTATTACTTATACAGTTTAGAAAATGAGGAATGTAGATTGCGATCGGAACCCGATGGTGAGTTTGGTATGATATTGATCACTAATAATAATTAATTTGTCTGTAACCAACTTGCTTTGATTTACATGGCTTACAATTCGCCATAAATATTTATACATCTTTTATGTGATTTTGTTTTAATTTTTGTATTGAATCATATAATAATGTTTTTTTGCAATTAATAAGATTAACAAAATGAGTATTGAACTACATTTTCTTAAAGCTCTTTAAAAGTGTTGTAGCTTAACACAACATAAAGTACTTGAATGATTTTTATTATTTCTCACACTCTTTGAAACTAATCTTTCAATACTATTAATGATTTTTACTGCATCTGTTTTCCATTAATTTTACTAATCGTGTGTGCCGTTTTCAATAACAGTCGGTGCTCGTCCCTTGCCCTTATGTTCCCCATCAGGACATCATTGTCAATGTCCGGAAGGATATAGTTATAGTAGGGATTACCATAATTGCCATCCAATTCCCGGATATGTTCTAGATACTATGGGACCTACAGGAAATAAACGTGAGTAAGCAGATTAGCATACTAGTTCTATTAGAATTGAGCTATGATTAATGATAACTTAGTAGTTTTGATAAATATTTTTTATAATTTGAAGTATTTGTACATAAATACCCCGCTGAACACAAATGTAACGTCCACGAAATTTTTACAAAAAATCAGATTGCACGAAAAAACTACGCAATAAAAGTGTAACATGAGTAGAATAATAAATTCTGCAGAGAAATTTCGTAAATGTCACGAAACTATAACAAAAAAAATATTTTTTTTTGTTAAGCAGTTTTTGTTGTTTCACTTTTATATATAAACTTCTATTAATATTGCTATTATAACCTGTTTTAATTTTTGTTATAAATTTTCCTATATTTTTTCAGTATCTTGTAACATCGTGAATACTTGTCATCCACATGCTCAGTGCGTTTACTCGGCTAGAAATGGTGGTGAATATTTTTGTGAATGCACCGCCGGCTACACTGGCGATGGCATCGAATGTAATCCTTTGAAGCTATCATGCAGAGAAGTAAGTTTGTTATATTTTTTATATATGGTTTATAAAAATCAGTGAAAAATAACTTGATCTTTGCTAACGCTTTTGACTTTGTATGTCCACTATCCATTTCTAAAACATTTTATTTTACTAAAAACACTACCCTGAAGTGCAAGAAAGGCATTAGCACCTATTGCGTTGATGCCTGGCTATTGACAACGGCCTCACGCAACATATGCGTGCGCAGCAGAGAATGTGTTTTTAATGTAATTTTTTGTATTATATTTTTTAGTCCGATATTTGCGACCTACATGCTACTTGTGAACAAGAAGATGGAATGACCGATCGTTGTGTATGTTCTGAGGGTTATGCTGGTGATGGATACCAGTGTATGCCCGTGGGACGTGTTTGTAACGTGGATGAAGAATGCGGTATGTTTAGAAAGAAAATAAGATTTTTTTGGATACAATGTTATATAGCTTAACGTTAATCATATATATCATAATTCAGAGACAAATTGAAGATTTTTGTAAAATTTCGAAAAAGTTGAGCTAAATTTGTATCTGATTTCTTTATTAAATTATTATTTTAGGTGAAGGGGGTGAGTGCAGAGATAGAAGATGTCAATGCATTTCTGGCTACACTAAAGATCTTCAAAGTGAAACCTGCATCAGAGCCGGACTCTGCGGCACAGTTCTTTGCGCACAACATGCAAGGTATACTTACACTATCGATATAAATTTATTAGTCATATTATGATTCATTGATACCATATAATTATATATGATAAAATTTATGATCAATTACAAACTTGTGATTGTATTTTTCAGTTGTCTGTGGGATGCAGATGAAGAAGCTCATTATTGTGAATGCGATCAAGGATACGTAGGCGAAGGTCATAGCCGTTGCGAAAAACCGCCGCCTTCCTGTAATGAAGTTGATAATTGTCCCATACATGCAACATGTTTGCAAGATAGAAGGTACGTTAAGATATAAAATTGGTTTCACCTATTATTGCTAAAATATACTTCACTATCTAAATATTTTTAGAACTGGTCAGTACACTTGCGTATGCGACAGAGGATATCGTGGTGATGGACAAACTTGTCGTGCAGAACCCACATGTGCCGAAGAACCAGAAATGTGTCACGCTATGGCCAGGTGTACATCGACACAACGTGGTCCAAGATGCGTTTGCGTAGAAGGTATAATAAATAAAATATGTGTTCAACAAAGATTTTTTTAGTATTTTAGTAAATCTATTCACTGTGATTTCTACTTAGGTTTCAATGGCGATGGAAAGCACTGCGAGCGCCCCGCCAAACACGACAGTGGCTTTTTACTACTGAATCAAGGTATGGCTACTTTGCGAGTACCATATACACCTGAAGGCGGTGCCCAACCTGGTGGCAAACCTATACAAGTTTCATATTACCAGATGGCAATTGGTATCGATATAGATTGCTCTAAGGGCAGAGTATATTGGACCGACATTGCTGGAAAAGCTATCAAAAGTTCTGAATATAATGGTACCAAGGTGGCCACGGTATTGGACAACGGTAATTTTTTT